CATTGTTTACTTGGAACACAAAACAGGTTTGCTATTCCTAGATCTTTATGGACCTTATGTTAGAACTGTATGACATTTCCTTCTTTCAATCATAGTAAATGCATGGAATGGTTTTTCTTTACAACAATGGATTTCGATATGATTTTTTTTTATCAAGTAATATGCCTTTTTTTATCCCTAAAACTCATATTCTCCAACAATGCTTTCTAGATGGAGTGATGATTTGGTTAGGGTTTGCTTTTGTAGTCAGCTTCTCTTTGTTGTAAACATTTTGAAGCTGATTTAAAATATTGTATCACAGGTTTTCATTTTTGTAGCAGCTGAGTATGAAACCCCAAAGAATTCCTTGAATCAGGTAGGGTTAAATTCCCCTCAATGTTTCCTGTTTGTGTTTCCGCCAACCCAAATCGCATTTTTTGAGGCCAAGTCTGTTTATGCTGCCATAAGTGATGATACTTGTCAATCCTATGCTCTGCTTGTGATATTTAAAAGTACCATCGTTAGCATATAAACTTTATCGTTATTTTGATTAGCAGAAAATATATTCACTACTAATTGATTCTTTTGACATGGTGTTTTGCAGGTCTCTCTTTGGGATGCTATAATACCTGCCAAAGAGCATGCTAAATTTTGGATCCACACCTCAAACAAGTATCGGTTTGTTGATCAGGTATGCTCCTTAAGATGAAGTAGCTTCTTCTTGTTCATCAGATTTAGACAAATTATTTCTGGCTTTCTTGCAATGAAGAATAATTGTCTTATTTCCTCAATCTTCATTATCTAGGGAAACAATCTCTGTGGCAAAAGATTCAACTTAACATTGCACTGGCATGTTATGCCGAAGACTGGAAAGATGTTTGCCGACAAAATAGTCCTGACTGGTTATAGTTTGCCAGAGGAATATAGATAAGGTTTACTTCGTTGTGTTTTTGAGGTTGCTGTAACTTTAGCCTTCTCAATATGCGGATATTATAGCCTGGCAGAATCAGAGAACTTGAGATCGAACCTTCCCTTAGTGAACATTAATGCTATGTTTAATTAGAAGGCTTGAAATGTTGAAACTTATGTTTGAGAAAGTGAGGAAATGAATTAACTTTTAGATTTAAATAAGAAGTTTTCAAAGTGTTGAAAAAGCTGTGCACATCGCTTTGTACTTGAAATTTCTTTGATGAATACTACCTTAATGACTTAGATTTCAGACATAAGCATGGTATTTTTTGCTCTATTTGATTATAGTCGTGGACTTCAAATAGGGGTTGATTTTGCATACTCTTGGCCAGAAACGAGAATGTCTGGATTCCGACGACCCATAATCCAAAACCTTGGCTGTAAAAGTTTCATTTAGAAGAACATTGTTAGCTTTGAAATGCATGTTCATGAGAGGAGGAACCAAACTGTGAAGGTATTTTAAGTCCTGTTCCAAATAAACAGAACAGGGGGAGAAAACCAATCTCTAATGTTTGTGACGGGAAAATAATGGGGTTGGAGCATTTTTCACTTCAAGTAAACTGTTCTTCATGTGCGTTTCACTTTTACCCACATTAACTCTGTAACACTTGAAATGATCAGCAGAGTAGGTACCTTAGAATTCTGACCAAAGAGAGTGTTTTGGGGAAAGTTGTATGGTGATCTTTCCATCTGTTTCAACTATACAGAACATTATGAAATTACACAAATTATTACGATTTTTGTAACAAGATTACAGAAGCTGTAATAATTTATTTAATGGGACATTGTTTCTTTTTAGAGTTTCCTTATGTTTTGTCTGTGTTTGTGGAACATGCGAGAGGCAAGTCTAAAACTTGTCCAGTTGTTGGTAGGGTAGGGTGCCCTACAGTCTATAGTTAAATTGGCTACGAAGATGGTTGGGGTTCAGATCATACACAGGCAACTAGAGAGGGGCCATTTTCAATAGTTGCACACCGCAGCAGCTGAGATGAGAGAAAATGCGATGGGCCGCTCACTCAAACATGCATACATATATACATTCAACATTCTCACATACATATATACATATGAGGGTTGGGGGTTTCAGTTTCCATATATAAAGCTCCACAACGTTTATTTGATTTAATTCTAAACATGGCAATCATCCATCAGATAACAAGCCATGAATTCATCCTATTAGCAGAGTAAATTGAATATTTTTTCCTCGGAAAAACACTCCACCTTATCTCATGTTTTATGGATAAAATTGTTTTAATTTCGGTAATAAAAATTTAAATCCAAGCAAAACTTATCAAATAATTTCAGTAGTTAAAGGGAGATTTATTCGTTTTGGAGGTCCTAGGTTTGAGTAGTTTTTTTTTTTATTAATGCAGGATAAGTACAAGATAATATCAATTCAAATATAAAATTTCAACCATTTGACATTGACTCAGGACCTCAAAGAATAACAACAATTCTTTAATCATCAAGAACGTTTGGTTCGTGTTATGTTTGAGTATTTGCGTTTGCTAGATGTGAGCATTGTCAACGATTAAGAAAAATTAGGGTAAACTATACCAATGATTACCTAACTATAGTCCATTTTTATTTTGATCACCATTTTTGAATTTTTTTCAATTAGGTCACCCAACTATTTAAATTCATTCAATCAAGTCTCTTGATGTTAACATTTAGAGGAAGTGCTGACATGACAGTTAATAAAATTAATATAATTACACATTAGGTCATTGTTACTTATATATTCTATCAATTTGGTCTTAATTTTAATAAATTAAAATAAATTTAATCTTCGAATCAAATCGTGTCATGTGTCACTAGGCCAAATATCATGACATGTGTTGTCATCCGATTGGAGGATTTAATTTATTTTAATTTAAAGTTCTATCGATTGGAGGGTAACATGGGTGAAAAGAAAATTAAGAATGGTAAAGGGGGCAAATGGGACTCGTGAGAAAGGAGAAGCTCAACCATTAGGCCAAGTTCATTTTTTGGTTTAAAACAGATATCGTATATATCTTGTTTCTTAGTATAATCTTAAATTCTTAATATTAAATATATCTTAACTTAAAATCACATCTTAACATTAAAAAATATATTTTATCTTTTACTTAACTTATTGACTATGTTTTATTCTTATCTTAACTAAAATATATATTTTAATCTTATCTCAACTTATAAAATATATTTTATTCCTACCTTAACTTAAAAATATATATTTTTTATCTTAACATGTTACATATATTATATTCTTAACTTCAATTATTAAAAATATTATATTCTTAGCTTAAATTATTATATTATTTATTCTTATCTTAACTTAAAAATATATATTTTATTCTTATGTTAATTTAAGAAATATATATATTTTAATATTAATTATAAAAATAATTTTTTATCTTAGTTTTAAAATATTATAAAAATAAAATTTAAATATTTAAGTTAAGGTAAAAATATATTTTATAAGTCTAAAAAATACTAGAATATTTTTTATTTTAGTTAAGATAAAAATAAAATATATATTCAATTTTAATAAGACGTGAATTTAAGTTAAGATATATATATATATATATATATTATGTTAATAATTTAAAATTACACTAAGATATAAGTTATATACCACATGTAGTCCACTTCAAGACAAATAATTAGTTTTATCCTGGCGGTTGATGCTCTCCTTTATCTCTTACACAACCCAAATTTGAATCCGGTGGCCCCTTTTTCAGCGTCTTAATTTTCATTCTCCTAGCGGGTGAGTCACCCTATTATGGGTGGAAACTTAATATATTAAATTAAAATAAATTTAATATTCCAATCGAATAAGATCAAATTGATATAATATATAAGTAACAATGACCCAATGTGTAATTATATCAATTTTATTAATTGTCACGTCAGTACTTCTATTAAATGTTAATAGCAACTAACCTGATTAAATGCATTAAAATAGTTGGGTGATTTAACTAACAAAAATTGTGGTCAAAATAAAAAGGAGCTATTACTGGTATAATTTACCCAAAAAATTATAATAAATGTGTTGCTATAATAATCATATATTATTAAAAAAATCTAAGCAGCTTTAATGATAAATGTAATCCTGATAATGAACCTTCATGGTTCTCAGTTCGAATCATTTTCAAATGAATGTAGTAGTAGTTGTGGCTACAAGTACTATGGGGCATACGCTTTAACTGTTAATTAAGTAGCTTTGTCACACCTCCATACCTTATATTTTTAACATGACAGTGATGTATTATTAAATATCTCTGAAAGAAATATTAAGGTAGTAACTATGAATTACATAAACGGTGGTAAATGAGATGAGATAGATTATGAGTTATTTGAGATCAATTCGTCAAAATTCAGTTAAAGTCTGTATGGACTTGATTCGAGTTTAAACTCGACTCGAATTCTTAATGTGTTGAAATGAGCTACTTGATACCCGACTTAAAAAGCTCATGAACAACTCGAAAAAAATAAAATATTAAATTTAGATTTTTAAATTAATTTGTTAATAATTTTAACATTTATATAATATTTTTTTAAATACAATATAAGACTTTCATGTACTTAAGGTTCAAGTTTGAGTTTGATCTTTAATCAAGTCTGAAAATTTTTGAGTTCAAGTTTTTTCGAGATTAAGTCGAGTTTTAATTTCTTATTATAGTTGAGCTTGAAAATTCTAAGCTCGAGAGTTTTCGAGTCGAGTCGAACTCAAATTTTTTATTTCGAGTTCAATTCGAGCTTGATAGTTTTAAACTTGTGAGTTTTCGAGTCGAGTCGAATTCAATTTTATACTTTTCGAGACTCGAGCTCGACTTGGCTCGTTTACAACCCTAATTATATCATTGTGGATTTTTCTGGTTTTGTAAGCTTAATGTATCATTTCCCTTGAGAAATCCTATAATTATGGACATATTCTCAAGCAGTTATGTGGAACACAATCATGCAATTATGTTAATCGAATCCAACCATAAAACAATACCATAAAGCAGAACTAAAGGAAGAAAAAACCAAAGATTAAAGGTAAAAGATAAGCTTAATACCGACTGCAACACCATCATTAGCAAGGCTTGGCCTATATTGTACGTTGAGAATTGTATATGTTTGAAGAGAAAATGATTCAGCCATCAGGTTCAACAATGTTGGCGCCGTTAGCATTAGATCGACGGGTATTCAGCACATAATAAACACCCATTGCCAAAAGCACTGCAAATCCCAAACCGAAAACAATGCCAGCAACTCCATCAGCTCCCATTTCATGGCCTGATTTATCCGGTGTCGATGACACCTTAATTGCAAGTGCTTTAGACTCATCGACTTGAGCGGCGACCGGCAACGGTGAGCAGTCGGAAACCGAGCAAGGGTTTTCGGTGTTTGGATGGAAAAATTGATAGGCCGAGGGCGAGAAGGTCATGGGACTCTCGTATGCAATGCCATGGGGAGCTCTTTCTTGAGCCCCAGCAATGGAAAATGAAGATAAGAGAAGCATGAAGGAAGCAAATGAGAAGAAAACCATACTATTTTGCTTGAGTTAAAGAACTTTGGGGTGGCTTTTAGAAGGCCTTTTAAAGTGAGTGTTGCTTGCCATAAATTTCTCCTTTGATTTATTATTATTAATAATCTAAAGCTATTAGAATCAGTAGTATGTTTAAATATCTTACAGTCATTGATGCTCGAACTCAAGACTTATAAGGATAACAATCATCTTTGTATCCACTGAGGTAGCTCAAACTAAGGTCATCTAATCCATTTAACTAATAAAGTAATTGGTTCAAGCGGAATTTTTTAATCTCCATTTACTTCATTTACATGAAATTATGTTTTATACATGAAATAATGATCTGAATGATTTTCTCTTCATAAATTTATTATATATGATAAGGTATGATAGAGGATTTTAATTAGCTTGAATGATGCCTAATAAACATATATGCAAGTAATAAGACTTGGCTTGATGTTTTTCTCGAGGAAAAGGGGAAGATTTAGAGGTTCAATGGTCTAATTCCAACGGATGAACAATTGGCAGGCCATATGGTCCATAAGTACCTCCAAATCAAAGGCAGTTGGGTTGGTTTAGTCGAAGAGGCAAAATTCAAATCCACTTTGTATCTGTTTTGGACCACTTTAGGCCTAAGCAACATGTTAATCTACCCACAATAGAGTATATTATATATATAAGGGTGGGAGTCTAGTCAAGTTAAACATTTTTGAGTAATTTGAGTTGAGGAGTATTATTTTATAATTTAAACATAATTTAAAAATTTTCGAGCTAAGTCTAGTTTTCAATTTTTATTTAAATTTAATTATAAATATTTATAATATTATGATACTATTTGATTCTACTTTAAAATATTTATAACCATATATAATACATATATATATTCATTTTTTTCTTATGTGATATACATATATCATACAAAGTCAAAGGGCTCGACTCAAACTTGAAAACTAAGCTACTAATTACTAAAAATCAAGTTATTCGATTTTTATTTTCTAACACGATTTTAAACTTGAAATTTTTTTAGTTGAGTCAAATTTTTTTAGTCAAATTGGAAAAATTAATTTTTGAGTTTAGTTTTACTCACATAAGTTTAAATATCAATTAAAAAATTCTTTTAAGTTTTTTCAACTGACTTGATGTTTGGTTGACTTGCAACACTACCTTAAAAACCCTTTTATTACTAGTATAGATATAAATATTAGGGATGTTAAAAAACGGGTACCCTATTCTTCAGATTGTATATTTGTCGGCTTGTGACCCGGCCCATTAAGTTTGGGTACTCGGTAGTTGAGTACCCATAAAATATGGGTACCCGCATTTTTGGGTCACATGTATCTGATTAATATAATTTTTTATATTTTTTAATTTAATTTCTATTTTAAAAAATCATATAGGAAATATATAAAAATTTAAAGTTCATAATGCATAATCACGAGTAAAAATTAGTGATAAGAGTTTTAAGGATAAATAATATTTGGATATATATATTAAAATTTATTTTCAAAATAAAACACTAAAAATATTAATAATTGATCGTGATATTTTTCAAATCTCATATTGATAAATTAATAAAAAAGTTATTTAAAAATTTTAAAACTTAAAAGTACATAATACGAAAATTTTAGGGATATAAATTTAATTTTAAGGTAAAACCTAAAATAAATATATAATTTAAACTAATATATATATATATATATATTCAAATTACTGGGTCGGTTTAGGTACCCGATTATAAAATTTTTGGCCCATACTCGACCCAACTACCCTGAAAAAATTACGGGTAGGTACCAGCCCGGTCAAGTAACTCTTTTTTAGAGAATTACCCTTTTTTAGGTTTGTATCGACGGACCGGATCAACCGGATCAAATATTTTTTTACACCCCTAATAAAAAATATTATTTCTTACACTGCTAATGTTATTGCAATTTGCATAAGACCGATCACAAAGATGTCATCCTCTTTAAGGTACCAAATTTTGAGTGTAATAAGGGTATTTTAATTTTTTTTTATGTAATTGGCTCCTAAATTCAATTTTGATCTTAATGCTAGACGTAAACAAAATTTAAAAATATTAGGTCATATTTAATCTAAATAATCGATAATAATTTCATTCCCTTTATCAGCTAGCTTTTCAAGAATCCAATATTTTTGGCTACCACAGAATGGTCTCGACAATTATTTTGAACATTAAAGGAGGTTTTAATGATGCATTAAAATAAAGCATAGGTAATGGCCAAAATGAATTGAAAGTAGGGGTGTAAATTAACCTATCGTTCGGTAAATTGTTAGTAAATTGTTCGTATAACATTCGTTTATGTTCATCTATTGAGCTAAATTAATGAGCATGAACAAAATTTTTATATTCATATGATAAAGGAACGAACAAGTACAGATGTGTGTTAAGTTCAATTATGTTCACGAAGAAGCTCATTTACTTGTTCGCTTATGTTCATGGACAAGTTGTTTTAGTAACTCATTTAATTTTTTACATTTTAATTATTAGTGAAGATACATATTAAATTGAATACATCATAAAATTTGGGGTTTTAACTATGAATCCTAATAAGTTTAAGAACCAGTTGTGTAGTTTTACCATTTTCCCCTAAGGGTGCGTTTGGTTCACGGAATGTAAGATTATCAGATAATATGATTACTGAGAATGTTGTATTTTGTGTTTGGTTGGTTTAGCAGGAATGTAAGATTACTTTGTTTGGTTAAAGGAATAAAAGATTATTAGAATGTATATTTAACCAAATTATCCTTATTATATATTTGTTTTTTAACAAGTTGAAAAATATTTATATATTTTCTTTAAAAAAAATCAAATTCATAAAATTTATATAATTTTTTTTTACAAAATTGAAAAATATAAAAATGTTTAATGAAAGGATAAAATTTTATTTTAACCCCTGAACTTCATATAAAATTTTAATTATAGATTTTTTTTTATAAATCTAAAATAGTTTTAGGATAAATTTGTAATTTAACATTCGTAGAATTTTTATTATTTAATAACAGAAGAAGAATATTTTTGAAAAAAAATTTAAGGACATTTTAGTCTAAAATGCCGATAATCCAACAATATTTAAAGAAATGGAGGTAATAACATTCCAGGTAATATATCAAAAAAATCTACTATTGGTAATTTTACATTACCGATAATGAGATTTTCGGGTTAACCAAACGAAAAATATAAATTTCTTTCCATGAAAATCTCACATTCTCCCATCCAAAAACCCCTAATTATAATACCTAAAAACCCTTTTCCTTATTCTCCCTTTCCCTTTCCTTTCCAGTTTTTAGCCCGCCGTTCATCTCCCAATTTAAGCTTCCTTTCCCGCCTTTTTTCATGAGATTTATCAAACCCTAAATCATCTTCTATGATATCGTATTTTACATCGTCAGTGTTTTTGTGCTCCTCGCTTCGTCTACTTTTTTATAATTTATATGCTCTAAATTATATCAAAATCTTTACGAAACCAAACTGTGATAACTATTTTTTTGTAAAATGATTAAATATTATTTTAAAAAACGATTATGACTTTAATTTGAAAAATTGATCTGTTTTGAATTGATTTGTATAAAATCGAAAGAAGTCGCCATCGACCTTTGGATTAGGTAGGTCGAATACCTAAAAGCGTCTTTTAAAAAATAATTTTAAGAAAGATCGTTTTTAAGAAAAAAAATTGGTATGCATTTACCAAAGATTCGATTTAAAAGGATTCGAAAGTCGATTACGCGTGGGGAAGGATAAACACCTCCACAATACCAAAAAACTAGTACTCAATCGCTTACACATTGTTGTAATTGGTAGAAATTAAAAAGCGAATATAAAATTAAAATATGATCCATTTATTAAAATATAATTAATTTACTTCGAATTAATTATTTAAAGAAAATCCTTTAACTCGATAAAAAATCTTGAAATTTGCAATCCTCCACAAGGAAAGTTATTTCAATTATTTTTCATTTGTTAAAGAATATTTCGTCCTTGATTTGAAAACGTGAATCGAATAAATAAAAAAATCGACTATTACATTCACATAAAATTAAATAAATTGTAAATTAAATAACACACAATGCATCATTAAAATAAATTAATTAGTAAAATAAACTCAAATTATTTCAAGTTACTATGTCGTTAAAATGCCGTATCGGATTGCACCACTTCGATCAAGTGATACTTTCCACGCTCATTCTACAAATCGTTGTTCTTGAAAAACATTCGAGTAATAATGCATAAAGGAGTAAAAATTAATAACTAAAAATAATTACATATTTAAACATGTAAAGGAACTACAATAATTAAAATATATACATAAATACACACATACATATATATACATACAAATTTAAGTAAAAAAACAGCTAATAAATCAAGATACAAATTCAAGCTAAAATACACACATACAAATATTGTAACATTAATATATATTATTTATTTATAAAAATATGAACATAATTATATAATATGCAAAACAATAGTACATAAAAATAATTAATTAATAATACCCCTACACATATACATATATATAACACCAATGAAAATAAACACAACATATAATACAATCATTTCAAGCATTGAAAAACTAAAAAACGAAACAGTGAGGACCTAATGAGCAATAAACCCCTAAGCTTTAAACACCAGATTAAATAGAGTGATCAGAATGCAAATGAAACAAAACGTAAGACTTCAAAGCATATTACTCAATTTTATATGTTGAATAATACGAATGACTAAAATGAATTCTACACAAAATCATCAGTCAAAACTCTAAATACTTAAACATATAGGATTACAGACATATGGGACTAAAATAAATTAAATAAAAACATGCAAGGGGAAAATAACAATTAGACCAAAATACATTCACATTTAATAGTGTCTAAAATAAAAGGTGCATAAATCATACGGTCAAATTAGAATATCAGCAAACATAACATAGTATATAAACTAGTGATTGAAATGAAAATATTGAAACAAAGAGGCACGAAATAAAATATCCCAAATTTCA